AAATTTTAAGTTTAGTCAGCTCCAAGTTTTCACTAACTTCATATTTCAAGTTGACTAAGCTTAAATTTCAAGGCAGCATTAAGTTGAAACGGTGAGACTGTCTTTTTTTTTTTTTTACTGCGAGTCTAAATCGTTCCAATTAATTTGTGCTTGATTTGTGCCGTTAGAATATTAAACTAGGCCTATTCCCCACGAATATTCGTTAATATTCAAGTTTTTCTGTCCCCCTTACAAACGATTATTTATCGCACTGCATAAGAAAACAAAAAGAACATAATGGACTGTAGAAAAAGTGCTCAAAGATAAAATAGCCTTAAGCTATACTGAATGTGTGAAAAAAAAAAAAAATACCACAAAAAAATGATAGATAATGTTGCTACATATCAACGAGGTAACACTTTTTATTAATATTTTACAATAAATAAATTAACATGAGCGTGTGGTATGCAATTTTTAACACATTAAATTATGATATGCAAGTCTAGACATTTCATCTTATTTCATTCAAAGATATTTTAAACAAACACACCTTGGCTGTCCTTCACGCATAGCCTATTCCTCAAAGAGAAAATACAGCTGAGCAATATCATGGTAATGTTTATGCTCCGAATATTTCATCTGCAAAATGCATAATGCAATACACATTTAAATGATAATAATAATAACACACAATAGGCTACTAAGTGAGAAAACAGTTGATGTCGATGGTTAGTAAAGTTCCCGTTATATTTAAGAAGAGGTCATGGTTACATTGTTTCTTTTAACGGCACAAATCAACACAGATCGAGCACAAATGAGGTTTGAGGCACCGAGCACAAATGAGGCACCGGTTTGAAGGGATTTGGACAGCATGGGGTGGAGAGTGACATCACTGGCCCGTTTTGTTATTTCTGAGGACGGGAAATAGATACAGTGTAAATTTGAACGGCACAAATCGAGCACAAACTAATGGCACCATTTTGGAACGATTTAGATTGCATGGGGTGGAGAGTGACGTCACAGCTCCCGAAAATATTTTGGTTATATCTAAGGAAGGAAAATAGATGCAGTGTTTGTTTTAACGGCACAAACGGGCACAAATCGAGCACAAACGAATGACACCAGTTTTGTGCGATTTAGACGAACTGGGGTGGAGAGTGACGTCACAGCTCCCGAAAATATTTTGGTTATATCTAAGGAAGGAAAATAGATGCAGTGTTTGTTTTAACGGCACAAATCGAGCACAAAC